TATGTGTGTGCCATTCGAGTGTGTCTCTCGCAAGGGTTTTACTAAGTATTTGAGTTTTAATTCCTATCCTTCATAGACAGTGAAGTTAATCTATGTTGTAAGAATGATTCACAACATAAAACTCACTGAATGTAGATTATGTAAGTCTGCAAAAACAATTAAATGATTTCACGATAAACATGTGATTTACCGAACAGAAAGGCATAGTGGTGACAGTCAAAACGGGAAACTACCTTGGAGGGGGCACCGACGGCAACATCTTCATCGCGTTCGAAAAGGACGAGCAAGGAAACACCACAGACTCCATCAAACTGGACAAGAAATGGAGTAACGATTTCGAAAAGGGACACGTCGACAAGTTAGTACTGATTGAATGTATATTTGCTTTTATCAAGTCCAGGGATGGGATGTGATGGTACTCAAGTCAACTTTATTTTGCTCCCATGTGCACTATAATTGCAGGGTTGATATGAGGGGCTTTTCCAGATCAAAAAGCCGGGACCTATGCATGCCTGATATAAAAAAGAAAGGCTGACATTCTGATGTTGATTATTATTCTATTGTCCCAAAAATATCCCAAAGTGTCCCAGCCTGACTTTTGGTGGCCATATATAGGACCACCTTTAATTTCGAGCCCAGGGCCTGTAAACGATCACGTTGGTGACCTTTCAGGTTTGAAGAGAATGTTACCCTGCCTGCCCTGTGCCAGCAGGGCAAAGGTTATCTGAAGGTGTGGCGAGATGAATCCTTCCAGTGGGACGACTGGTTTTGCCAGTCCATTTCCATCACAGCACCGACCGGCCAGCCGCTTAAATTCCCGGTCAACCGCTGGATTAAAGCAAGTGAGTTTGTTTGTTTGTTTGTTTGTTTGTTTAGGATCTCCATTAGTGTGAATTTCACACTACTCTTCCTGGAATCCGTAGTGAATAATCATGATCAGATAAGTATTTGGACCATCGAACACCGGGGCATGCCCCTACTCTTTTTCGAAAGGTGTGGTGGGTTCTTTAACGTGCGTGGGGTGTGGCTCTCCCCAAACACGGGACCTCCATTTAACGTCCTATCCGAGGGACGTCCCTAGCCGAAGCTAGGTACTCATTTTCACCTGAGTGAAGTGAGGTGAAATTTCAAATGAGTGCTCCGCCACTCTTCAAGAAGAGGTTTCGGCCATGGCTTATTTTTGACGTGTTTTAGGCGTTTTTAACGAAACTATTTTCTGAAATTAGACGAGTGTGTCTGGGTGCCCCCTGGTGGTGCAGTACTGCCACAGTACGACCGACACCGCGACAACCGTGAGGCAGAACTGAAGAAACAGAGAGAACGCTATGCTTCCTTCACTTATCAAGACGGCATGCTCCCCATGGTAAGATTATTCCTGCCTCTTAATTTTTCTTCAATAATTTTATCAAAGAAAAATATATGAATATACAAATAGACAAAAGTACATAGAGAACAATAAGGCCACATCGTCTTAATTTTATGGATGACATTGTGGTGAAATTGTGGCAGTACATAGCGACGTATACTCGTATACGACAAGCGCCGGCTTTTTGCGGAATTCATGAATCGGCACTGTATGAACTAACATGGACTACCCAGGCCTAGAGCCAGGCCAGAGCCTCTTTTTTTTCGAGAACCGGCGAAAATCAATGCGCGCGAATATGGCTGTGCATTTCTTAATTCCTCACATGTATTAAGGTACGTGTCCAGACTTCAATTCTTCCTCTGTATCAATGATTTTGCGAATAACT